AAGTTTAATCACAGAGTTACGTGTTATAACGGTTTATTAAAGATTTATCGCTCTAATTTTCAATTTTAATATATAAATAAATGACCGAAAATGTACTATCTGTTACGCTGACTTTTTACCATGTAACAGACAGCACATTTTCGGAATTTACATAATATTAATTGAGAAGTAGAGCAATGAATCACTAGGAAGCGTTATAATAACCTTTTGAAGATTAATGCGAAAAAATTCGAGTGATATTATCATTTCTACTAAAAATATGACCGAAAAATGTGTTGCCTGTTACGGCGACAAAACTATTCCAGCTATTGTGAAACCACCCACGTATAAATCTGTTCTTTGTATTAAAAAAGTGATACTCAGGATGATCGAAGAATTTCATTGTAGAAGGACCTCCTTCTTCCAGGGGCCGGGGGCGAACTCCCCTTACCAGAGAAAGCCCCCCCCCCCCGAGAGAAAATACCCCGAGGTGCCTGTTGTCAAGGGCGCGTTAAATTTTGGAAGAGAACATAGAACCGGGTATAAACAGAACTTTCTCGGAGTGAGCTGCTCGTTTGAGTACCCTTCTGGTTGTACAGAGCTTATGGCTTATTGCGTTAGTTCTCTATCTCAACACCAGGAGCCGTCTGCGCGCTGTTCTTGTTAGCGCAGCTTCAATTATTTTCTCAAGCTCCGCCTTTTTTTCGTCTAGACATGTGACAGCAAATTGATTGAATATCGATTCATGATCAACTGTGATTGTGGTGTGCAACAAAAATCTACATTTTACTCGATTTTTATTTTTATTTTATTTTAGTTATATTTATTCTTTTTTTTTTTTTTTTTTTTTTTTTTTGCTCGCTGCGCTGCGCTACCGCTGCCTGACTCGCGTTGACGAGGAATCGTCGATTCTGGACCCAAGTTTCAACTGTTGAAATTGATCCCATGTGGTGTATGTATGTACTGTGTCTGTGTCACACATAGCTTCGCCTCGATCTCAATTAATCAGGACTGACCTTTGGTGCACAAAACCGTATGAATAGAAACCTGAGATAGCGAAAATAATGAGGCCGCTCTAATAATAAACAACATTTCGGCTAACCCAGTTTGAAAGCGCGCATCTCCGATCGTGATATCGTGTCAAGCGATGCGGCTTCCCTATTTTTCGTGATATTAAGTGAGTTAGATCCTGCCATTTTAATACATTTTTACAGGACTATACTCTGTCTATAAATTCTGAAGTGTATTCATTTGGATGAGTATTCATATTAAAGTTCACGCGGAAATACTCCATAGCATGGTTTTGTCAGCCATGAGTGACATGAGCAAAACTGGTCCACGCTGATATGGTATGATATATCTTTTTTTATTCTCCGAGTCATCAATATAATGATTTTCATTGTAAAAATTGTTTCCGATGCTTTTTCCCTACATTTTTCCATTAAGTAATTGAACTTTATGACCATTAAAACATTCACCATTTTTCGTCCAAGAAAACCAAATATCTGCTCCAGACGACCGCGGATAACTGGGGTTGAATGTCTAAAAAAAATCCCAGAAAATTTCAGAAAAACTGTGGAGTGTGGTTCAGTTTTATTTCATTTTTAGAGAAATAAACGCATGAACTGGCGTTGAGACTTGTAACATCGGAATCGGAGAAACGCTAACCTCGCGCATTTTACGACTTCAGCCATCGATTTATCTCATAGTCCTATCTCCATTAAGATATGACGATTTTTGGTGGTGCCTGATGATATCAAACATCGACAATGAAATTGGAAAATAAAACGCGTTCCTCAGTTTAGGTACCTACGACGCTACAGACTTCGTGCCATCATTTATATTTTAAAGCGAGAGAAACTCAACGTAATTCCTTAAAAACTCACCTAGTTCATCCTCTCATGTGGGGAGAATATTCCGTGAAAATGTCAAAAAATTGGGTCAGTTCGTCTTCTTTTGATAAAATGAAAAGGGAGCGGAGATTTCGAAACACCGCAAACGAGATTCACGTTCCTGCGCGCAGTTTCCCCGTAACCGACAATTATTATGTTTCGGTCAGGTTACTTAAAACGTCTCCGCTATTTTGTGCGTTTTAAAAATTTAAACCCACATCCAGCGGAAAGAGGGTAGTATCCTGTTTAAGACTGATAAAGTAAACCTACCTAAATAACTGATAAGCGGACAAAATCGTTCATTTGCTCGACGCGACGTCTCACACTGCCGCGCTATCGCTAAGGAAAAACGTCGTATGAACATTCGAGAGTTGTCTTTCCTCCGGTAGAATGATTATTTTTGAGGAAAGTTGTGAACATTTTTCCTTGACATTTTCAGAAAATTTGCGTAAAATGGCGAAAAAATCATCTGAAAACCTGGACGAGAAACATTCATAAATTCACTAGGAAATTCGATTTGTATCAAAGGAAATGTAGCAACGCCCGAAGGTTCATACGGCGTTCTTCCTTAGTATGGCCGCATTATGCTCACTATTTTTCTTTAATAACTCGATTTGATTGTTTACTGTCAAAATTTCCTCTTCATTTTCCAGCATGACGCTGCGAGACGCGAGCAAATCTTCATCTAATTGTGCGAATACAACGAACCGCATGAATGACAGCGAAGACTTCACAATTGGATGTTTCAAATCGTATTCAAAATGCAACCCAGGTTTCTTTTAGCTGTCGTCACAATCACGTGCTTGTTTTATTCGGCCTGGGCAATTCCTACTTATGTTTTGACGTTAGACTCGTCCAACACTGCATGGACTGTTCGCAATCTGAATAATAGTAAGTAAACCGCTCTTATTATGAGGATTGCGCCCAAAATTCCACCATATTCAAGTTTTTCCCTGAAAAAGAGGGGTGATCCCCAGAAAATCAGAGAGGACAGCACTACAGCAGCGGATCCTAACTTTTTTTTTGGCCGCGGACCACCTTTTCGCCGAGAGATAGAAGCCGCGGACCAACGAAAAAAGCGAACGACCTTCTTTAATGATTTTTTAAATCGACTTTCTAACAAACAAAACAAATAAAAAAAAAATGTTAAGCCTTTTTTTTAGACCACCAGTACCGGTTGGGAACCGTCTGATGTACAGGGATCATAATTTTAAAAAAATCTATTCGCTATAAATCGACGGAGGGGAAAAAATCAGCCTTTCGCAGCATCCTGTTGTGAACATCGGTGTACGGCATCCTGATGACATCAAAGCTGCTATTTTCTGGTATATTTCCGGTTTTAAAGACAGTAGACACCCTACCCTGGTAAAAATTGTCAGTAGAAATCTGTGTTCCAAAATACCATAGACCTACAGCCGGCTGTAAGATTTCCAATAGCTTCTATAGCCGGCTACACAATTTCTTGTAGCCTTTTATAGCCGATGGCGATTAAGCAACAGCCAGGCGATAAAGTGTTTGCTAAATGTTACTAATTACGGATGCTAGGACTCAGTGAGTTTTTGGACTACCGCTCTATTTTTGGGCCGTAGTATCTGATTTATTTTGCGCGGAAAGTTCCATACTTTTGAAGGATGCCTGCCATTCCTAATATGATGGAGCGCCTTCAATTTCGTATGATACTGTGCAATACCTCTGGAGTGAAATAGTTGCTTCAAGCGCCGTGAGCGGCACGCTGCGCTGCGGCGCGGCAGGCGGGAAGCCAGCTCGAAACGCGCATTGGCGCCTACAAACCTAACAGGGATACTTCACGCGTTGCGCAATGCGTGAAGTATCCCTGTTAGGTTTGTAGGCGCCAGTGCGTCGCCGCTCCGCTTTGTGTTAGGCTCTAATATTTAATATGGCGGAGTCAGCGTTATTCAACTCATGATTTTGAAATGTTTGCACATCCTGTATGGATTATTCTCATTTTAATTGAGGAAAAAAAATGTGTATTATAGGAAAATATAATGTGTGTTTTGTAAATATTAAGGTGGTTCCGTATCAAACCAAATGATTTCCAAAGCACACGAATTTCTACACAATTTCATATAACCTTGTATAAATGGCGAAAAAGCAACAGCCTGGCGATAAAGTGTAAAGCCCGGCGATAGGAACTATAGCCCGGCTGCATAATTTTTTATCGCTTCGTATAGCCCGGCCGTATGATTTTCTCCGCATTCGACAGCCAGCTATATGATTTTCTGTGGCCTTCTTTAGCCGGCTATTAGAATTCCTATGGTATTTTGAAACTCAGCTCTTATCGCCAATTTTTACCAGGGTAAATGTGTAGGTTCTGTATATGTAAGTGTCCATATATTATGCTTTCCCTGTATATATAATCCCCCTCCCATAACCAGGAAGGGGTTTGATAATAATGTAGAAACTTGTACCTACCAGAAATAGCTGAAATAATCACCGTAAACCGCGCTTCAATATCTCGATCAGATATCATGTTACAGTCAGATTTAGACATTGAAATACCATCAGAAATGAGTGAAAATCGGGGACTTTGCCCCCCCCCTCATATCTAGAATTTGGTTTGTAATTTTTGTATGTGTAAGGTATCTTCTTTAGGACGAAAAAGAAACTACTCACGGACCCCAATTTTGAGGGTCCAAAGACCTTTTAAAATCATGCTTTAGGAAATTATTTTTGGATATGTCTGGAGTAAAATTTACGTCTGGCAAAATACAAGTCAAAAAGCCTCTTAAATAACTAATGTTTAAAATATTTTTTCAACGACATATTTTTTACTAAACATTTTTTTAAAAGATTTTCTTAACACTTGTTTTGCTTGAATATTGCCTGTTATAACTTTTACGTAGATAAATTACTTAAAATAAAGGGCTTCTGAAAACATAAATTTGAAAAGTTTTTTTTACGAGTTACGCTTTGAAATTCATGAGTTTTTTTTTAAAGATCCAAGAGCTGTTGCTACTGTAGCCATCGCAGAAGGATCCAATATAAGATAATTCACTGTAGGCTTACAGGCATCAAGAAAAACACGTCTTTCATTTCTACTTGATAGCAACGGATTCAACTAACTTCAAATTATTTCTGGAAACTAAACTCTGTGTACTGTTCTCACAGGTATTCGCTGCGGAGCCACTGTTCCTGGTGGAATATATTCAGACCTAGAGAGAGCCAAAGTCTTGGAATCAGTTTTGTACCGTTACAACGATGTACAGTACAGATGGGTCGCCAATGACTCCTGGATCTATGAGACTTATTTTGATGGTAATTTATTCAAATCAGCTCATTTAGCTACAGAGCTTGGTTAGTCATTGACAAAATGTGTCCGGTTGTTGACTTTTACTCCCGTCTGAGACAGCCAAACTTTCTTCTTCTTCCACACTAATCCCGATTAAGAACAAACCTAATGATAGACATGCCACTGCGAAAAAACTGTGATTAAAAAAAAAAAGAAACCAGTAGCTAGTACACTCAAGATGGACTCTTGATTAATTTTATATAAACAATTATTAATTTTATACCATACATATATGATTATTCTAATTATCAACCATCAAGACTGGAATGGGAAATCTAGAACTGCATCAAAATCGTGAAGTGGAGTTAAACATAATTTAGTTAGTTAGTTAGTTAGTTAGTATATTTTAAGACATTCAGCGTCACAGGCTATTAACGTCTTTACAGAAAATTTTGAAAATGGGCTGTATGAGCCGTAGTTGCCATGGTAGATTTTTTGTTCCTGCATTGGAGTGTTGTGTTTGTTGCTTCCTTGCTTTTTGAAGGGGCTCCTCTTATTATGCCATGAAATTGAAAGAGGGCTGCAGTTGATCTTTTGATAGACGATTCCTCACTTTTTTGATGTATGGAATATATGGATGTTTTCGATGCGTGGCCTTTTCTAGCCAAATGGTGTAAAAACGTTGACATTTTATGGAAAAAATAATTACAATTTCATTGCATTAGATTCAACTGTATTCCAATATTTTCGTCCGTACACTTTAGCGAAGCAAGATTTGTAGACGAGACGATAAGTGAATCCTCAAACAGATGTAGGTTGCTACGGAGAGGATGTATTCTGGCCTATCTCTAAAACTGAAGGCGAAATGGCGCGGCGGTGTGTCCGTACCATTTTCGAGTCAATTTTGCCCCACCACATTTTCGATCAAAGAACGTCGCTGCAACAATGAACTCAATCTCTGGCAAATTATTCAACATCTTTCAATAATATATCAACATCCTCCCAGTTTTTATTTCAGTTTTTTTTGTAGATTCATTCTGCAATATTTTTCGTCCTTTGAACGCCGATGTTTGAGTATTTTTAAAACTTGCGGCAGGTTTAGCCCCAAAGCAGTCAATTGTCAATTAATTCGAACTATTGTTTTATTTTCGATTTCCAGTCTCCCGGACACTTTTGGGATCGAAGCAGAAGTTCCTGGTGTTCCACGGCCTACACACAGTCGCTAAAATATACTTGAACAAAGTCCTGATCGGGTCCACTGACAATATGTTTGTTCGGTACCGTATCGATGTAAAAGATCAGCTGAAGGTGCGTTCTAGATTCGTTATTACAATGTGAAGTATAATGAATAAGATTGGATTCTCGCAGCGCTGGATTTCGGGTGATGGACCCCGGGGCAAACCTGTGGTGCCCCCTTCTCAAGCATAAGCTAAATCATTTTCCAGCGGAGCCTGGCCCCCATTGAAAAATGGTACCCAACTCTGACTCTACTCATTGAGAAGTGGAGGAGCACGAAATAACCCCAGCCCCCTCCCCTGCATGGAGAGGGTCCGGGACCTACCCCAGACATTTTTGGAAATCGACTAAATTTGAGATACATTTAAAAGCCACCGCGCCGTAAATTGTGCGGATTTTGTCCGTCTAGGAAACGGATTTAAACCGAAGTTCTTCCATGAACTCGAAAAGTAAATGCGAGAAAAATTATTATTAGGACAACCGTGTTGCAGTTCATATTGTAATACCTTAAAAAATATATATCTATATATTTTGGTTGGGGCCAATTTACAAAAATACCAATGGCTCGAAGTGTCCATATCGCAGACCTATCCATAACTCAAAATCTCGATAGGCTGGAGACTTCGATAGCTCAGTTTTTTTCGTTCATTCCTTTAACATTCAGTCATCGAGGCTCGACTGTTAATCCCCTCTCGGAAACTGATTTTGAATTCTTCGAAATATTTTTTCAGGAAAACAACAAGCTGGAAATATTCTTCGAATCTCCAATTAAGGCTGCAAAGGCGGCCCATATGAAGTCGAAGTACCCTATAAAGCCGACGTGCCCGCCTCCGACGTACAACGGAGAGTGTCACGCAAACATGTTGCGCATGAAGCAAGACTCATTCGGCTGGGACTGGGGCCCAGCCATACCTTCCCTTGGAATATGGAAGAGCATCGACCTGGAACTTCACAATTCAGCAGTCATAAGGGAGGTCACGACGCATCTTGATAGAGAAAAATCGAGGAATTTTTGGTCTCTGAAAGTTCAGATCTTTTTGGAGTCGAGTCTAAAAGTCACTGGGCAATTATCTGCTGTATTATACACCAAGAGCAAGAGCATCAATAAGACCGTTAACTGGGAGAATGAAGGATACGCAAATACGACCATTGAATTGGAAGTACCATACGTGAGTAGTTCTTAACTCTTAGCATTGCTGATCGTTTTCTGGTCAATATCCAAAAAAGGGAAAATAATTATCTAAATTGTATAAAAAGCTGAATCCTGTGATTCTATCCGAACAATTTGATCAAGCCAATCAAACTAATATGAATGGGTGAGGTCAAAAAATGGGTACTTCTATTGCACCGTTCAAACATTTCCGATTATACACTTTATTTTCTGGAAGGGAAACTAAGTAATCAAAATTGGAACAAAAAATTGGAAAGCACATTTTTTGTGAAAGCCCTGTCAACATTGACAAAAGTTCACGGAACTTTACGCGAAAGTCAAGTTCCGTAAACCCATCCCTGTTCA